CCAATCTCCAAGGGGCCACCACGAAGGTCCGCAAGACTCTCTTGGCCATGGGACGCCCCTTTGAGGGGACCCCAGACCCGAAGTCACCTCTGATCCCCTCCAGTCTCCAAGAGGCCACCACGAGGGTCCCCAAGACCCTCTTTAAGGCTCCCGATCCCTAGAGCCGCCCCCGATCCCCTCCGGTCTCCACTCCAGCTGTTTGTGGCCACCGTGAAGGTCCCTGAGACCCTCTTGACCACGGGACACCCCTTTGAGGGTTCTGAGTCTCAAAGCCACCTCTGATACCCTCCAATCTCCAAGGGGCCACCACGAAGGTCCCCGAGACCCTCTTTAAGTGTCCTGAACCCTTCCAGTCTCCGCTCCAGCTGGTCATGGCCACCATGCAGGTCCCCAAGACCCTCTTGGACACGAGCCTCCCCTTTGAGGGGACCCCAGCCCCAAAGCCATCTCCGATCCCCTCCAGTCTCCAAGGACCAGGAGGGTCCCCAAGCCCCTCTTTAAGGCTCCCGATCCCCAGAGCCACCCCCGCTCCCCTCCAGTGTCCCCTGGAGGGGCCGGCACGAAGGTCCCCAAGACCCTCTTGGCTATGGGACACCCCTTTGAGGGTCCTGAGTCTCAAAGCCACCTCTGATACTCTCCGATCTCCAAGGGGCCACCACGAAGGTCCCTGAGACACTCTTTAAGGCTCCCAATCCCCTCCAGTCTCCACTCCAGCTGGTCATGGCCACCACGAGGGTCCCCAAGCCCCTCTTTAAGGCTCCCGATCCCCAGAGCCGCCCCCGCTCCCCAGGGCCCCCGGTCCCCGCTGAGCGGCGCCGCCCCCGCAGAGGCCGTTCCCGGGAGCATCCGCACGGCCGAGCACTTCGTGGGCTTCCTGCGGCGCTTCCTGGAGTACCTGAAGGCGCGCGTGCGCGTGCAGCGCGTGGCGCAGGAGAGCCCCCCGGCCTTCCTCAAGGACGTCTACGAGAAGGTCTGCATCGAGCGCAAGCAGCTGCGGTAAGCGCCGCGGGGACGCGGGGACATGGGGACACGGGGACGCCCGTGCGGTGACAGCCGCCGCCGCCCCGAGCGGCGGCGCTCGCTGCTGCGCACGCTGGAGATTGCCGACGTCGCCGACTTCTCCGCCGTCACCCTCGTCGCCAACTTCGCCACCCTCGTCAGCACCTACTCCAAGGGTACCGCCGTGTCCCCGTGCGCTGGGGACACCGCCGTGTCCCCACGGTGTCCCCTGGGGATGCAAGCAGCCCCTGGCTGATGCTATTAGTGCGGAGCACTTTTGTGTGTCTCCTGCCCCGAGGTGACATTGGGGACAGGTGGCACCAGGTGCTGTCCCCAGGGTGGCACCGGGCGCTGTCCCCAGGGTGGCACCAGGCGCTGTCCCCAAGGTGGCACCAGGCTGCCTGACCCCACTCCGTTAGCTAAGCAGGGTCCGGCCCGGTCAGGCTGTGGATGGGTGACCCTCAGCTGCGCGTTCGAGGCTGGGGGGCATTGGCTGGCACCCAGCCGGCCCCCATCCCATCCGTGTCCCCAGCCCCACGTCCCCTCTCTGTCCCCTCCCCAGACGCTGTCGCCGCTGGACATTTACCCCAAAATCCTGGATTTCCGCCCCGTCACCATGGCGACCTTCACCATGACGCTGGCCCGGACCTGCCTCTGCCCCATGGTGAGGGGCGGCCGGGGGACCTGGCTCAGGGCTGGGGACACTCGGGGACCCCCGTGACAGCGGCGTCCCCGTCCCTTGCAGATCGTGGGCCGCGGCAATGACCAGGTGGCCATCAGCTCCAAGTTCGAGACGCGCGAGGACATTGGTAGGGGACGGGGACAGGGCTGCAGGGGACAGGGACAGGGTTATAGGGCTGCAGGGGACAAGGAGAGGGGATACAGAGCTGTGGGGACAAGGGACAGGGGATATAGAGCTATGGGGACAGGGTTGGGGACAAGGGGTGGAATATAGAGCTGTGAGGACAGGGACAGTATATAGAGCTATGGGGACAGGGCTGGGGACAGGGGATGGAATATAGAGCTGTGGGGACAGGGACAGGGGACAGAATATAGAGCTATGGGGACAGGCCTGGGGACAAGGGACAAGGTTATAGTGCTGGAAGGGACAAAGGAAATATACACCTATGGGGACAGGGTTGGGGACAGAGAATGGTATATAGAACAATGGGGACAGGGACAAGGGACAGGATATGGAGCTATGGGGATGGGGTTGGGGACAAGGGATGGAATATAGAGCTGTGGGGACAGAGCTGGGGACAAGGAACGGGAGATATAGAGCTGTGGGGACAGGGACCGGGACAAGGGACAGGATATAGAGCTATGGGGACAGAGCTGGGGACAAAGAACGGGAGATATAGAGCTGTGGGGACAGGGACCGGGACAAGGGACAGGATATAGAGCTATGGGGACAGAGCTGGGGACAAAGAACGGGAGATATAGAGCTGTGGGGACAGGGACCGGGACAAGGGACAGGATATAGAGCTATGGGGACAGAGCTGGGGACAAGGGACAGGGGATATAGAGCTATGGGGACAGAGCTGGGGACAGGGGACAGGGACAAGGGACAGGATATGGAGCTATGGGGATGGGGGTGGGGACAAGGGATGGAATATAGAGCTGTGGGGGCAGAGTTGGGGGCACGGGACGCGGGAT